GTTTTTGTTCATTTTGAGGCACGGACGCCCCCCCCCTCTTAGTGACTTCATTTGACAGGAGACGATTATGAGGAACCAGTTTTTGTTGACTACAAATCCGATTCCTCCTGTGTTCTTCGCGCTCTCTGCTCTTCTTAGTCAAATCGAACTACGTCTTTTCAAATACCATTCATCTTCATTCCTCACGGAGGCCGAGGATGTCGCAGGCCATATCTCACCTTTTCTCTGTTAGTCGTTTAACGTTTTTTCCTTCGCCACTGTTCTGTAGTGGTAGTTGCAAAGGAAGTCCGAGTCCGTTTGCGATATGGCGAATTTTTACCTGGGATTTTTAGCAACCTCGTCAGTCGAACACGGAATATCTTTAGTGAAATGGGTCTAAAGGCTCGCAGGGTACTGAGGCCATCAGTTTATGTTGTCATTATGCACGAAGATTGACCACCCTCTCGCAATACTGATGATATCCTGGCCAATTTCGTACAAACGAGTCCCGCGAATCCCTCCATTTTTGTCATGGTTCTGTCTTTTAACCTTTGACAAACGGACAAGGCGAAGATGACATTGGTGGCTTTTTTCTTCAGTGGACGAGTCGTTTTCACGTTGACAAGAGTCTGCTGTTGAACACTGACTCTTTTTCTGGGGATCGACCTTGTCGAGCTGGAACTGCCCCTTTATGAGCGGTATTGCTGTGAAGTAAATCGTTTTGCAGTTTTCGTTGCGTAAATCCAGTATCAGTGGTTGAAAAATAATATTTAACGGTGACAAATTTGAAATGCTGCCATTTATGGTAGCTATCCTGTGCCACTGGGGTTATATGCTATTATTTTCTCTACACTTGTGTAATAATAATGAGTTTTGTTGGTGCCAGAATGTACTCTTGTTTGGTCCAACACCTTGACGTGATCTATGCATCGTGTGCATGGAATTTAAATATCATGAAACCATGATTTGCTTAAATGGTCCCTTGTGATGGGCGGTGTAAAGGCTGCCATCTATCTTGCACAACCGCTGTAAAGTAAATGATTACAAGTAAATCAGCTATCAGTGGTTAAAAGATAATATTTCCCGGCGGCGGAATCAGAATGCTGCCATTCTTGGTAGCTAACTCATGCCATATTGGGTACATATTTTATTTTTTCCGTTGTTTTTTGTTCTCGTGACTGAAATAAAACCCTTATAGCTTAAAGTTTCAGAAGTTACGATGTTTTTTCTTTCGATTCCATAATTATTGTTTTTATTTAGCTGGCTAGTCGTGTTTTCCTAGAGCTTACTGGTGAAATTTCAGCTTTCGAATCCATCGGCGATCGCTTGAATTGCTTTGTGGTCAGATGTGTTTCTAAAAATAAAGAATTTGTTTTTCAAGCCTTGTCTGAAGCGGAACGTGACGACTGGATAAGTGCAATCAATAGCATTGCACATGCAGATGAAGCGATCGATAACGCTACTGAATCGTTAATCACTGACCCAGCTCCGAGGAATCGAGAAAAGCAAGCCGAAATTAAACCAGAGACCGACAGTTCGCAGTCTGATATAAAGTTCTTTATCCCTTGGCCTGATTCGGAAACATCACAAGATGGACCAGAACCGTTGTACGACGAATGCGTTCAAAACAAGTGGTTATCGTTTGGAATAAAATATCTTGGCTGGACGCTTGTGGATAGTAGCGACTCAGAAAATGACAGAACGGCAGCGATAAGAAAGATTGCCGATGCTCGAGCACAGCAAAAATTAGACACCGCGCGAGACATGGCCATTGTATTAGCCTCTGAGCCGTCAAGATTGCTATTCTTTTCTGGAGAGGATGATAAAAACCTACTCTTTAGATGTTTGGTCGACATGGTCACATATTTGGAGCTGGATCAAAACAACGAAAGGCTATTAGCATTCTTTGTTCGATCACAAAATGAGCCTGCGGCAGTGCCCTTGACCTGTCATCTTGTTGAATCTATTGGAACCGAAACGGCCAAGGAAATCTGCGACGCAGTAAAAGGATTAAAATCCGCAAATATTCCTTCAAACACTGACACGTTTCAGTCGACGGCGGATGGCGCAGGATAAACTGTGAGCTGTTTCTTTTTTTTGAATGCAGTGACCAATCTGTTTCATATGATTTGTTTCTACCAAACCCCTCTTTTAACTTCACCGCTTAACTAGACGGCACACGTGGTTATAAGTTAGCGCTTGTGCACGTCATAAAATAATGGGCTATTATTGAAAAAGCCTTCTATTCCGTTTATTAACTATTTACTGTGATGTATTGAATATTTACATGCTATTTTTGGAATTATGGTTAAACCTTTACCATGTTATTGTTAGCGTTTACTTGTTAGAGACTTGTTTCGCTATAAAATTATCATTTGACCTATAGTCCTTTTCTGAATAAAATTTCTTATTGATGTCGAAGCAACTATTTGAGCATACATGTCTTCAAAAATCGTGATGTATTTCCTGTTTAACGTTGAATGCATATAAAAAATTTTCCGTTTCCTTCAGGTCATGAAACGAATATTCGCTCTGACGTATGGTGTCTTTATTATAAGCAACAGAAACACTAAAAACGGTCCCGTTTTACGACATTCTCAGCACCAACGGGTTGAGTGGTTCATTTCCATGACGTCAGTTTGGCGGAACCAATGGAACCGTTTATGACGAGGCGGTCTTTCGGGCACGAACAATTTCAGCGATTTCCTAAGTAAGCAAAATCTATAATAAGTAGCAAGAATGAATCGTCAATTACTTTATAACGGCGAATGCAATCTTTTTTCGTTCTGCCAGGGATAAATTCCGCAATTCTCTCCCAACGGTTGTCAGTTCCAACGGGGAACATCTTCAGAGCCTTTTCAAGGCTCTTCTGTTCTTCAGCAGTCCAAAGCGTACCATTTTCACCAGAGCCTGCATAAAGGATGACAATATAAGAACAAAGTCATTGCTCACTGACCATCATATCTGACAGATGGAGGTGCATCAACGTGTACATTTGGGTGACAAGCATCCAAAGGATTTTTCGAAACTACACCTTCTTTGGCCGATTCGTCTATAACAAAAACCTGTAGGTTTAAAAATACATAGCTGCTTATTAAAAGAATATAAAAATAACAATCCTGGTCTCTAACAACAGTTTAATTAATTAATACTACTAAAGACACTTTTGAACTTAATGGGAATATTACTGAGCAACATTTCGCTGACCTTTAGATTAGACGAATTTAGTCTAGATTTTTGTGCATTCCTCCATTTCTCAATACTACTCTCGAAATTCAGCAACTGATTGTTAATTAGGTAAAGATACTTAAAAACCATAATCTGTAGAGTTATGAACTTCAGTAGATTAGTATGTCGTATTTCTCATCGACAACTATCTTTTCCACGACTCCTTTCTAAGTCAGTTATCCTGCATTAAAGGAACATTTCTGAGAAAATTTAAAAAAATGTTATTCATAAAAACTACAACCTATGTGCATATTTGTAAACAATTTGCACAAACGGCACATTACGTACGTATCTACTTGCAGTCGATGATTGAATTTGTCTATAACTGTCTTCACTTTATGACCGCTTTTCCTTTCGGATCACGGAAGCAGACGGGTCAGAACTGTGCTTCCTGATCCTCTGCCAGCATCTGAGCTTCGATACAAGACATTACGACTCCTTCAATACACTTGCAACAGATTCAATTTGGTCATCCTCCGGGTCGGTCGGCTAGGCAAAAAATCTTTGCTTCGCCTTTCTTTTCGGAGGCATTTGCAACACGTGCGCAAACCACGGAGTCTGAACAAGCAGCGGTGTTACTCCAAGGATTTCTGTACTCCGAACCATTGCGAGACGCATAACGCTAGCGACTCATCTCAGAAAGCCCATTTCAGAAGGTCTCTTGGCTCCAAACCTATCGACTGCTGCGAACGATCAACCACATTCACGAAACTTCACCAACAACCGTGAAAAAGGTCCGTAAGATACGGACCGAAGCGTCGGTAGTGGTCAATCACTGGACTGACATAGCATCATTTGCGTTGTGGATAAGTGAAACCTGTTTTACACTATTTTTCGATGTTACTGCTAATGATTAGACATAGCAAATCTGTGAAACTACCATTCAGGATTTGTTAGTCATTAATGACAAAAGCAACTTAAATTTAACGGTGGTCAGTTATCTGATTGAGCAGTTTCACTAGAAGCTTAAATTTAGAAGCAAGTTCACTCATGATTACCCAATTTCGAAAGTTGGCGAACTCTAAATGCCACGTCTTTTCCTGACTTTTTTGGAGAATTTTCATTCCTGTG